AAATTGGAAAGATTTATCTTTTGTAGCTCTTGAATGTGGTGTTATGTGCTAAGAAGCAATTAAAAACACAGACTGTATATGAAGAGAGCAATCACTTTTTACTTCTTTACTGAAAACATTTCTAAGGGGTACATAACACAATCCTATAAATACTTCCTGAACAGACTTGAACACTGGGTGCTATCTAACAAAATGAAACTCAATGGTGAAAAAAGTAAGGTTCTACATTTAGGCAAGAAAAACCAAATGTACAGGTATAGTATGGGGGTACTTTGTTCAATAGTAGTAACTGTGAGAGGGACTTCCGAGTCCTAGTGGACAATCACTTAAATATGAGCCAGCAGTGTGCTGCATCTGCCAAAAAGGCCAACACAGTGCTGGGCTGCATTAACAGAGGGATAGAATCAAGATCATGTGAAGTATTAATACCACTTTACAATGCCTTGGTAAGGCCACACTTGGAATATTGCATCCAGTTTTGGTCACCACGATGTAAAAAAGATGTTGAGACTCTAGAAAGAGTACAGAAAAGAGTAACAAAGATGATTAGGGGACTGGAGGCCAAAGCATATAAGGAAAGGCTGCTGGAATTGGGTATGTCTAGTTTAATGAAAAGAAGGACGAGGGGGGACATGATAGCAGTATTCCAATATCTCAGGGGCTGCCACAAAGAAGAGGGAGTCAAGCTATTTTTCAAGGCGCCTGAAGGCAGGACAAAAAGCAACGGATGGAAATTAATCAAGGAGAGAAGCAACCTAGAACTAAGGAGAAACTTCCTGACAGTTAGAACAATTAACCAGTGGAACAACCTGCCTCCAGAAGTGGTGAATGCTCCAACACTGTAAGTTTTTAAGAAGAGACTGGGCAGCCATTTGTCTGAAATGGTATAAGGTTTCCTGCCTGAGCAGGGGGTTGGACTAGATAACCTCCAAGGTCCCTTCCAACTTTTTATTATTATTATTATTATTATTATTATTATTATTATTATTATTATTATTATTATTACTACTACTACTACTACTACTACTATTAAGTCCAATTGTATATACAATAGGGATGGGCAACTTTTTGCTCTTAAGAATTGTATTCTTGTGTAATTTTTGAGCCCATAGAGAATGTATGAAGTTTAGGCTGCTGGTAAGACCTGTGTCTCCACATTCTTGAGAACAACTGTGGTTCAAATCACACAGCATACTAAAGTATAACTGTTGTGTCCTGAGCCTGCAAAAGCAGGCTCGGGACGTTGCAATGGTCCCGGGCTGTTGCAAGCTGCCCGGGACCAGACTGAGTGGCGCCAGCCTGTGCGCATGCATAAGGCACAGAAGCGCGCCAGTTTGTTACCTTTTTGCCTGGGGATTCTATTAAAAGAGGCAGAGAGGCCTGCGAGCCTCTGAGTTGTGTCGGAGAGAGCTAAAGAGAATAAAAGCTGTTATAACCATCAGAATGTGTGCTCTTCTTTCACCGTTGACTCGAGGACTCAACAATAACCAAACCACATTTTAGTGTATTTTGCTAGCAACAGACATTTGCAAATACTTTTGCCTAACAACCAATAAGGAAAGTTTCCCATTCTCCCCTGTTCAGAAATAACAACCTGCAATGAGATGGATGCCTAACCAAATTCTGTCCAAAGTTCTCTTATGAAAAAGAAATTGATCCTTTAAAAAAAAGATTATGCACACACAAACATTTATAATCTCCTTTTCTTAAATGGCTGAAGATAATTCTATTATCATTGTCTTTATAACTATCAAGCCCAGCTCCTCCAAACATTCCTCACTCCTGACTCATTATAGCTCGAACAGTTCACAAATAAAGGCAAAAATATTCTGGGGAAAACTTGGATCAGTTCTGAAGATACCAACTTTCCAGTTTTCAGAGGTAAAACAAGAAGTTTTTTCCAGCAGAAGTATGTATTTTTACTAGTTGGCAAGGATGAAGATGGGGGAAGGAAGGAAAGTAGGTTGCAATTCTAAACAGAGAGTAGGTTTCCTAGAACATTTTAAATAAGTAAGTTCAGAAGAAATCTCAAGTAAATTCACATAAGATTGCATTGATAAGCACTGCATTTTGCCATTGAAGCAAGCATTGGAGTCTTTCTTGCAAAGAATGTGAATGCATTTCCATAGACAATAGCAAAAGCTTTTTTTGTTTGTTTGTTTGCCCACCACTATGTGAGCACTAATCTATTATATGGCCTTCAAGGCACCTAATTTGATTTGAAGGCCACATAATAAAGAAGAGGCAATTCTCTTATAAAAAAATACAAGATCCTACTTATACAACAGACAGGAAGCTGATTAAGATATGTCTTCACTACACAGGTTAGAATTGCCTGGTCTTGGGAACTGACCAATCTTTTTCAATTGCGTATTTAAATGTATAGTGATTTGATAATGCTGGATTAAAAATGATACTGTTGCTATGATAAATATAAACATAATATTGGCAGAAACTGTAAAATGTGCATAGCAATTCAATTGTTCCATCTAGATCTATCAGATTAATTATATCTAAAATTAAAAGAGACAATAAGCCTTTTGAAGTATAGCTATTATTTGCATCTTGTTTTAGAATGATAAATATTAAAATTGTATCCATATTTATATACCCTTCACCATTTTTTTTAGTTTGTTGTGGTTATTTTCCATATACATTTGTTTTATAATAAAAACACCTCATCAGAAAAAAAGAGAAATGGTTGTTGTTGTTACTATTACATTATGCAATTTTCTTCTACCATTCTCTGGTGTTACACATTCTTGGATGCATTTAAAAAAGATTTTGAAAACTGATTTATTCAATGTAGCAGACTAGTTGTTGGGAGGCATGACAGGAAAACTGTTTTCCATTAAATTCTATTAGTAAAGTTAGATGGTTGGTAGGTTTATGTTGAATATTGTATTATATAATATTTTCACTGTAATAGTAAATATATTATGATGTGTGTTGCTTGCATGCCTTTTATGCAATTTTAACTGCAATTTAATTCTAAATCAGAAGGAATCTAATAACAACTTTTTTAGCTATGGGATTCCCAATGCTTATTTCCTTTTCCTGTTTTATTTAGCCTCTTCATAAAGCTGATGGGTGACCATATAAAGTTCTACCATGAGCCAAATGGGAGATGGAGCACAAGTCCTGAGTGTAGGATGGGGAGGAATAGTCTCAGACTAAATTTTGTATTTGTATTTAATTTTATTTATATGCCGCCCAATCCCAAAGGACTCAGGGCGGCGTACAGAGTTTAAACAATCATAAAACAATAAAATAATACAGTCATACCACGAGTCCGATCATATCCCGCCCCCCCCCAGGGACATCAGCCCCAGGCCTGCCGGAACAGAAGAGTTTTAACGGCTTTCTTAAAGGCCGGCAGGGTGGGACTAAAGCCAAGCAAAACAGAAAGATGGCTAATCCAGAAACCAACTGATTCCAGGACTATATCAATATTAACCATTGGGGGCTGTGCTTCTCCTGAAAGAGTAGGGTCACAATGTACGGGCAAGTAGAGGCTCCACCAGCAGGAGTTTTGCCCCATTTTGGCTGATATGCCACTTGCAGTCTTTCCTAGAGTAGGAGGTATTGAGAATGGCTACTCACACCCATATCACCTCTCAGCTAGACTACTGCAATTCATTCTCTGTGTGGCTTCTCTTAAAAACCTTCTACAAACATCAAGTGTATGTTTACCAGTCAAGCATGTTATTATCTGACATCAGGACCAATGAGTTTCTGAGTGCAGTTGAAGATGCTGCTGGTTTTTTCAGCCTACAAACTTGTTCCTAGTAGAATCTTCCTATCTATTGCACACAAATAGAGTGTCTGCTATGGATTCCCCAACCTGGGATGTCCAACAATAGGGGGCCGCAAAATAGGCATTCTCAGTATGGACTCCCCATCTCTAGAACATCTTGTCTCCAGAAATAAGACTGTCTCCTTTCCCAATGGTATTCCAGAGACTTACTGAACCCTGCTTATTATGGAAGGCCTATTTAGAGAAAGAAGGGTCAGGAGTGAATGTTGATGAAGGATACTATTGTATTATCTTTATTATTTTTGTACTATTATGTTTTATATTGTTGATTTTACCATAAATATCATTGTGAACTGCTTAGATATAAACTGGATGTTCCTATGGCCATGCAAATGCTTCCATTTGTCCTAGGTGCCATTGTTTCCTCATCATGAAAAGCAGTGTATAAATCTCTTAATAAAAAATACCTGAGTAGGGACTTCTGGAAATATTTTTATATGCTATTTCCACATTAGTTTTTGTAGCATTCAATAACTTCCAGAAAAAAGCAATTTGAACACTTCACAATTTTAATACCTGTTTTTGAGTTGCAATCTGACATGGCATGCATTATAATAGCAGTATTTTAATAGCATAATAGCAGTACAATAAATATGGTTAAAATCAGTTCCACTGTGTCTATATAGAAGAAAGTGCTAAGAGCTGTAAGATTAGTACTTGATGCTATATACTATACAACAAGTTCCCACTATATTTGATATTATGTAAGACAGTTTAGCTTTTCTTGCAACTGATGCTTTCTTTTGCAAATATCATCAATAAATAACAAAATACCATCAACCCTAGTTAATACATGACCAGCTGTGTTTTTCAGATTAATCTGGCAATTTAATGAGATACTGTAGACTGTTTGTTGTTTCATTTAGCTAATTATAGACTTTAATACCATTTGGATTACTCTTTTGCTATCACCTATAAGAATGAATCTTATTAGCAAACAAATATGCAAATCATTATTTAGCCAGTACAATTTAAATGTGTGCTTTAATGTCTTTAGTTTGAATATTGGAACTTCCCCAAATAGCTATGTGCCTTTAATTTGTCCACAGTGAAAATGTTATTGGATTGTAACTGAGAGAACAGTTTGGGATCTGAGAAAATGTACATAGAGATGCATAATAATCTTCTCAAGTTGATAAATCATGGTCATGTTAATCTTCTAAGATCAATTGATTGGACTATCTGAGGAGCCATCTCTCCCCAATGGGACTAGCCCACCCTTCTCGCGTCAGCAGAAGAGGCCTGCTATAGATCCATCTGGGCAGGTTCAAAGAAAAGAGCCTTTTCCACTGTGGCCCCTCTACCACCGAAGGTGAGAGTTGCCCCTACCCTTTTGCCTTCTGGAAGGATATTAAAACTTGACTTTGCTGGTTGGCCTGGGGCCCCAAGGGAGATGATCACTATCCCATCCATCTCTTGGTTCTTGTTTCAGTATAGATTTAAAATTTAATCTGTGTAGTTTTAATGTTTTAATATTTTAATTATTTTTCTACTTATTTCATAACCTGTAAGCTTCCCAGAGTCACCTTATAAGTGAGATAGGTGCATAAAAATTAATAAATAAACAAATAAAGTGTCTAGCGAATAGGTAGAGGACAAAGATAACGCAATACACAGTCCAATTGATTAAAAGAAAAATGAAGAAAAGTTAAATTGAGACCCCTGTGAAAATCTAATTCCCAACATTTCACACCCGTATCGGAACTTGATTATCACCCTAGCTGCAGAGCTAGGGAAAACCAAATCTTTCCAGCCTTCAAAAAAGTCAACCAGGTTGGGGCCATCCATATTTCCAGGAGGAAGCTGCTTCATAAGGCAGACACTATGACCAAGAAGGCATGTTCATTTTTATGCTATGTCTATAGGAAAATCAAGGAGTATATTCTCTATTGCAAAGAAAAATGTGGTGTACTATGAGTAATGCATTGCATGTAGGTTTAGTTATACTGTACATTAAGTTAAGCCATTGAAATCAATAGGACATCAGTTATTATTTTATTCTTATACTTTAAGGATAACTAAATTAAATCAATCCAGTATCAGGAGACAATAATGAAGTACAGTACTAAAGAAAACTGGATCACAAATGTCACATAATTTATTGGATTTTGATTCAGTAGCTGGTGTGAGTTCAGCTTCTGTACTTTGTAAATCAAGATTTATATAGCATAATGTAGGAGCCCAACCAATTGTGGTTTATTCACCAATGAGTTATTCAAGATGTACAATTCAAGTCTTCAAAGACCAAATCAGTTAATAAGTCTATAATTAAAAAATGTATTCAGCTGATAAAAAAGTTATAAAATGGTAGGTCCCAATACCCTTTAGTGTTGCAGCATTAAATACAAAAAAATTAAACTATAATTTCTTTTTCCAGTGTGTTACCTGGAAATGGTTAAGAAACATTTTTAAATCTTAAATTTGTCTTAAAATATGCTTTTTTCTGTCTTGCCTGAAAATTGGCTGGAACTTTGAAGTAATCTGATTTCTATCACTATATATCTCCACCCTACCAAGACAATGCAGAGCCAATGAGAAAACAAACAAACAATCCCTAATGGCTTCTACACAGTGCCAAGTACTGAGAACTTATGCTTGCATTTCAGCTGACAAACAATGCTGGTTTTCTGTGCAGGTTCATCAAAATGGAAAAGTGGAGTTTATTTTACTTACTACTTCTACGCATAACAATCATATGCTCCCTCGACTCGGTAAGTTTTACTCTTTCCAAGAAAGTTCTGTATATTTTTAAAAAGGGAGGAGCGAAATGAAAAACCCAAGCATAAGTTGCATTCACAAAGTGGAAGTAGTGATCCAGAAATGAGCTGCATAGAACAGATTCTCCTAAATAATTAGAACTGCATTTGATTTTTAAAAGCAACTGGTAGGGAAAGAGACAAAACCTGAACTTGCAGGTTTAATCTGACTGGAGAGCATCACTTTGAGCCTTGAAGATTGGGCAATTTCAAAGTTTTATTATATTTTTGTAACTTTGGTGAAATGCTTACAGGTAAAGTAGAACTTTAAGCTTTGCCTCTCTGATTCTCATTAGCCTTTTCACAAATAGAACCTTAACAAAAAATGGTTGACTAACTTCTTCCTTCATCTCTTGCTCATAAGTAGTCATGCCAGCAGAGGGCAGATGCTCCCTGCTAGTTCCAAACATTCTTCCTTTCCTTTCTTATTTTGCTTCCCCATTCCCCCTTTGTTGCCAGACTTGAGTCTGGGTGTTATATGTTTCTAAGCTAGCTCTGTATACCATCCCAAACTTCACTCCATTATATTTTCTGTGCCTACATTGCCTGACTTTTAATTTGGGGTTAGTTAAACCATAACCATCATCAGCATAACTCAACAGGATTTTTTTCCTATCCCTACCCAAAATCTGGAGGTTAGTTTACCTATTTCTAAGATTTAAAAAAATCCTATTTCCTATGTTCTGCATACTAGCTATTAAGCTATTAAGTATTCAACTTTATTTTTCCCATCTTCCTTGAAAATCACTAGATTGCATCAATATAAATTAGCTATATATAAAGATGTCACTTATTGAAGCATTCTAGTATCAAAAAGGAAGCTACCAACAAAATCATTTGTTACATGTGGTTTATAATCTTTTTCACTGTTTCTTGTGAGTTTTCTTCTTAATACCTCATTAGGTAGGAAATTCTTAAGTTTGGCTACTAATAATTACTCAGCTATAATGTTCTCAGAACATGCTGATGGGATGTTCCTTTATGATGTTAGTAAAACCTTACATCAAGCAATCATCAGAAGGAACTGTTTTGTCCCTGAATAGTGTAACTGGATTTTACTATTACCATCTTGGCAGTCAATGATCATAGGGTTAGAATTAAAATGTAAGAGGTGTGTATAAGGTTTGAGACACAAAGGAATATCTTTGCTGTTTGTAATTGTCCAGATGTTGAATTCCAAATTCATTCCAAATTATCAGTATTTGTAATTGCCTTATGGGGCTCATGTAAGAAAAAAAAGAACACCTTTTGTAAAAGATTGTATATTATTTGGATGTAATTCTTAACTTGTAACTGGCCATATAAGTTATAAAATAAAAGTGTGTGTGTGTTAATCAGGCATAGCAGCTTTGACAAACATGCAGTTATATGCCTGGAAACCAAAGGATTTGACAACAGCTGTTTAATATCTGGCTTTGAATTTAGATATTTTTTTTAAAATGTACTCACTAAAGCAGGCTGAGTCAGTTACAATCTGTTTCCAATTAGTGATCTAGCCACAACCTAAATAACATCCCTCCCAATAATTATGTTTTTGTTTTGCATTTTTAATGGCTTTTAAGGGACTATCCTCAATCACTTTAAAATTTAGAATTCTGCAATGTTCCAGGTAAGTGGCTTTCCACTTACTTGTGAAATATAGTTATAGAACAAAAATTTGGATTTTTTTCTTCTAATTTTTTGGTGCATAGAATTTGCAGAAGATTTCTGTTGTGGTATTTGTAAACATGCAGAAAATGTCTTTTCCCAGAAAAAAGCAAATGTAGCATTTTCAACCCAAGAAGTCTGGTGTTGCCCTTAAATGACTTGTTTGAAGATCAACAAGGGGATGGGAAGGAAATTGATGATTATTTGTGATGTAATTTATTCAGATAGGTGTTTGATCCACTCCCTTTTTTGTGTTGGAGGCTTTGGGATTTGGTTAATTGTTCAGAAAAAGTCCCAGAATTTTATTTAGTGTTTTTATATCAATATTAAAAGCCCCAGTATATAAAAATAGATATTGCAGAACTTCCATTTCAGTTATGCTACTAATGATAGACAATTAAAATTTTCATTTTCTTTGGGGGAGAAGGAAATGATCCTTCCTTCCTTCCTTCCTTCCTTCCATCCATCCATCCATCCATCCATCCATCCATCATAAAACTAAAGGAGTGGGATGAGACACTCAGGAATGTGATTTTATTTAGGATTGTTATTGCCAAATATACATTTTAAGGCAAATTGAAAACTGAGGCTGACATAACATGATAAATTGTACTTTCTCATTTGTCTCTAGCAACTTACTTCCACAGAGTACATCAAACTTTTTTTTAACCAGCCAGTCTTATTTCCTGTATAACAAGTGGGCAAGAAGAAAAGTGACAGGTGAAACAGTGTGGGGAGAAGGGAAGTAATGACAACTCTGATGTAAAAAGTGGACATTCCACCTCTTGTTTCAGGTGGAAATTACATGCAGTTAAAAATTATTTTTCATCACTATCCTTTCAACCTTCAGTTGCATCCTGACAAAAAGATCACTTTTAATGTGTTAAGAAGTTCATATTTAAGAAAGATCAAAATGCTCCTACTTGCTTGGATGTTTTTCAATTGGACAGTCAATGTTGGGGGCATGTGTGTTTTTAAAAATCCCACTGAGCAACATTTAAATGATAGGCTATAATCAACTAGGACCTACAGAGGGGTAGCGAGCTGGGGAGTTGAAGTTCACAAGTCTTAAAGTTGTTAAGATTGGACAACTCTAGAGCAGCTAATAGATTATACTGTTTGTGTGTGTGTGTGTGTGTGTGTGTGTGTGTGTTTGTGAGGTTACTATTACAATGCTAGTGATGTGTTAAGAGTTCTAATTTGGAATTTTTATTGTTTATTTGTTTGCTAGCCATATAGGATTTTTTTATGTACTAGAGATGATCATATAAAATTTTCAAATAAGTCAGAACAATCCTAGGTTGGTCCCAAAATTAATTTCCTGGGAATTTTCTTCCAGTTTTGGCATTCTTATCCCAGTCTGGAGAATAGAAGAGATCCATTTGCTGTTTAATAATAGTTCTTTATGGCATGAAGCTTGTGGGTTCCTAACCTGTCCATTTAGCGCATATCATTAAATAGGAAAAAGTCCATTTCCTGTCATGCTTGTTTCATTGGACTAGGAATGCTTCTAGATAAGCATTTATTGATCTTCATTTTTTAGGGAGTACATGCTTGTCTATTTTCCCAAAGCTGTTTCCAGCTTTTTCTCTAGTGACAAAAGTACAAAAAGAGATGGAAGAGTAACACATTTGTCACAGGGTATTCCTCTCTCTGCATTTTCTCTCCCATCACACAAAAACTCATTTCTTATGCTAACCCAGCAACACAGTCAGCTGCAGGAAAACCACCTTTTACACTGATTGTTAGAGCATTAGCAAAGCTCCTTTGGACTGTCATTGTGCTTTTCCCTCCAGAATGCTTTTCTGACTAGCTGCCTAATCTCAGCACATGTTTTCCACTGTCATAGATTGGATTGCACTGAAAGGCAAGAATTAAATGAAAAACAAAAAATCTAAAATGCAACCCAAATATTTAAACAGTGAACATGCACTTCATCTTGATTCAGAGTCAGTATGCCTTGAGCAAAAATGCTTATTTAACACAGCCTAGAAACGAATGCCAAAGATGAGAAGGACTTGGTTTAAAAATAATGACTTAATTTTCTTGTTACCAGTCTTAGATATCCACCCATCGCTACCTTCCCATCTAGTTCATTTCCTGCTGTTGTTCAACAACCCTGAATTATGTCTTATAGAATAAAAATAAGGAGGAAAAAAGCCTAGCCCCAGATTAATAATCTCTTTTACCACAAGTAATAGCACGTATATGTTTTCTGGCTGTGGTAATCTCCTACTTTTAAGTCGAGCCAAACTTAATTAAGTTGAATTATGGGAAGACTTATGTTTTAAACTGATGAATTTCAAATGTACAATTATAATTTCTGGTGTTGTCACATTGATAGAAAGAGAACATTAACGGAATAATGTGATTTTGAACATGCTGAATATATACAGTATTTATATAAAGCAAAGCACCTTTGGCATCATATGTCATTTTTTTTCAATCTCCAGAAATTCCCACTGCAAATGTTGGAACTGAAAAATAACAGTGTAAGCCAGAATCTGGTCTTTTTGGTCCTGTGGGCATATTTGGAATTTTTAGAGAACATTGAGGCATGTTTCATAACTGGTATGGTTAGTTCCTAAATTAGCAAAAGGCAAACTGGTGAGGTTATTGGAAATACAGATGACGCATGAGGCTTTTGTTGTGTAGTATTCTAGTTTCCCCTTTTAAAGTTAATATTTTTAAAAGGTAGTACAGGGATCCTGGTGGATACCAGGAGAAGGATATGACCCTTTAACTTGGGAATGCTGGCAATGTGGATCCAATAGTATAAACTATTAAGCAACTTACAATTTACTACCCATAACTGGGGAAGAGGGTTAGAACATTAAGAATTTATTCTATGTCTGTATCCATATAGCCTCTTTGCAAGGGCACACCAGTGTTTCCAAAGGACATGCCCTCAGGTTAATAGCTGTATCTTACTGTCAGTTCACAGCTGAGGCAGATCAGAAGCTAACTGAGATGCCCCATTTTGTAAGATATGTTTCCTTTTTATTCTGGATATAGAACTTCCATGGCACATAGAAAAAAATTATGAGGTTGAAGGTGGCAGAGTGTTGGTCACAATTGGTCCTACAGTTTTGCTTAGGACAGCTTTTTCTATCCTGTATCCTAGACTTTGCTCCAGTGCTGTTTTGGCTGTGAGGGAATTTGGAACCCCAGCTTCTATAGCCATTTTTTCCCTCTTTTTTAAAAAGTGCCTGCACTTTGCAGCTCCCACACTGATCCTTATAGCAAAACTGCCTTCTCAGCATGGCTCCAGCAGCTGCATTTTAGAACTCAAATGACCACTGGATGGTGGCCTAGATACATAAAAAAAATGACTGCTGCTACCTTATAAGGATTTTTTAAAGGTGCAATCTGTTAATCATGGATGGTCACTGGGGAAAAACATTACTGTCTAAGGAACAATGAAAAGGTTGTACATAGCAGTTAGAGGAGGCTTTTCATATGATAGTTGGTGTTGAAGGGTCTGGAATGTCTGATGACATGGTGTCAACTTGGAATATAATGTGTTAAAGTTGAATGGATACCAATGCAGCAGACTCACATTTCAGGAAGAGGCACCCTATTTAAACAAGATTTAGAATGGTGTGATTTCCTGCTGGCTTTCAAATGGGAATACAGCAGAGCAACTGGATGGATGTTAATTGCTAATCTCATGTCACTCCCTTCTGTTTTTCTTCCCAGGCACAGAGCACATGCTTTTTGACCTTCCTCCTGGTAGAACATAGTTAACTAGGTCCTGGGATTGGTCTGTCCATATGAAGAATTTCCCATAAATAAATATCCTTTCTATACTACTTAGGAAATCAGCTTAATTAAGTATTGTTTAGATCAGGTTCTGGTATTAGGCCCACTAACATATGCACAGAATGATTGCTCCATCGTATCTCATTCCTTAATGGCCTTCAGAGCATGTCTATGAAATTCCTTACATTAATATCAATCCACCAGTTACTCATAAATTTTATTTGGTGCCAAACATTTCTCTGTCTACAGTATATAAACTCTAATTATGTCCTGAATCAGCATCAATTAAACCTGAGAAAAATAGCACAGAACAAGTATGACCATTAGAGAATGCATGTCATTTATCAACACTTTTATTTAGAATAACAAAAATGAGGGATGTTGTACATCCTGTTTGTTTAATAATTCACTTGATAACAACTGAATCCTCTTGAAATTCTTTTGTCAATTTTAAAAAACAGAGAAGAGAGGGTTTTCTAACACACATTATTCTATATAGCTTGAAAATCCCCCACTTTTTTTTTTTTTTTTTTACCATAGCTCTATATTTGTTACTTAGGCACCTTTACAGGAACAAAAGGAATCTGTCCCATACAGTTTTCCTAAATAACTAGGAGCAATAAACAAGAACTTAAAAGTTCAGCTATCTATTAAGAAAGCATATTCCATATTATTTGAATGTAATAGGATTTTGTAGGAACTGGTTATGAACTGACACTGCAGTACTTAGCAACTCACTGATGTCTTTTCCTTCCTTCCTGAAGACTGTAGGAAGTTGTTTCCAAGAGCAGCTGAGACTCCAGGCCCAGTTGAGACTTCTGGAGCACAGTGTGAAGCAACAACAGGCAAGAATTGTGAACCTCTTAACGGAGAGGGATATACAGAACAGAGATAAAGAAGGTGAAAGCAGTGTCATCAATCTGGGAGAAGAAACAAAGTACAAAGGTTAGAAATAAATTTCATCTTTGTTCTCCATTCATTTTACAAACCTGGTGGATGATCAAAATTTAGAATCCATACCATAACTTCAACTTCTAAACTTTACACAAAGCCACCTGTTTTGAATTGTTTGCCTGCTCTCATTTCAACTTTTCAACTATATACTGTAAATATTACATATATGGGCATAGGCATAGATAAAGGTAAAGGTTTCTCCTTTCCAGTGTGTCTGAATCTAAGGGGTGGTATTCATCTCCATTTCTTAGCTGAGGGAGCCAGCATTGTCTGAAGACATTTCCAGGGTCATGTCGCCAGTATGATTATATGCTGAGGCGCAGGGAATACTGTTTCCAATTGACAAGCTCAGTGTCTTTAACCACTGAGCCATTGTGCCCCCTACACACACACACACACACACACAAACACACATAGCTGTTCATTTAGTTATCCTCCCATATCATAATAAATTTCAAATCATGGTTTCTCATGTAATATTCCATTAGACATTATTTCTCAGTTTGGATGCTGCACCAACTGTAATAAAACATAACAGTTTGGCATAATTAATTACACCAAAATTACACGAAGCAAAAAGAATATATTTAAACTTACTCCTAATGTATAAATAGGATTACATGTAGCCACCTCAATAGTATGCAAAGAATTGGTGACAGGATACTTGTCTGACCTGCTTTGGACCATACCACATAATCAGAAAAATGGTTAAGGAAAACTGAAGGGGGAAGCATTTAGCTTGGTCATGATTTTATCTCATAATAATTATGAGAACTTTTATTTAATTTACATAAAGTATTTTATCCTGCCCAATGCATGAAAAAGCAGATCTCTAAACCCTATTCCTTTTCCTTAAAAGGCCTTTATTTAGGGTTTCTACTCTTCATGAATTAAAAGTTTAGTAAAATGACGTACCATATTATTTTTAACAGAAATTTTTCAATATAGAAAGAATTACTTATATTACATTGCAATGATCTGAACAGTAGTCTCTGCGGGTCTAAGTGCACTTACTAAGGAGTGTTTTTGTGTAATTCATTAAATGTGATTCATATTGTGCTGTACACCAGTATTTGGTTATTAGAATTTTCTTCATGCTAAATTCTGGCATGTGTTGAAACTTGGATCACAAGTTTGAAACTCTTTATTGAAAACCATGTAACATGGTCCAACCTTAAGAAACTGAAGAATATTAAGTTTGACTAGGGAAGCTGCATATAAAGGGTGAAGTAGATTTTTGAAATGTTTGCCATCAATCATTGACCTGAAACAAAATTGAGTTGGTAATAACTGTAAAAAAGTATTTGCAGGATGTTATTTGCAGGTCTGTTTTACATTACTTATTTTAATGTGAAATTATATATCTTGAATTTTTTCAGTAGCTTTCATAGCAATGGTTCAGCCAAGGCAGAACATTAATCAAGAGTAACCAAAACAATTAATGAAGGCTGACTAAACATTATAGTAAACTTCACTTTTGGCTAACCCAAACATTAATCTTATGTTTAAATAGATAATCACAATTTCAGTAAGTAACTAGTAGTCATTCTGGCCAACTTGCATAAGCTTTGTGTTCTATCATCGAATGGTTCAGTGAAGACATCAAGCAACCAGGTTCTATTAAAATCATTGCTTCTGACTGTTCTGTGCTAGAATCACAATTCTGTTAAGTATTTCCTTAATTTTGCCTTATGGTCCTTTTGCTATCAAGCCATGAGGGGATAGCTCAGCCTGTGACTGACAGAAAAGGCCAGCTTTTATTACATTTTATGTCTATTTCTCCCAACACTAATTCGTCTTCCACTCCTTATGGTAAAGGTATGCAAAGTTATCCAGTCTACTCATATGCAGAATCAATATCATTGGAACAGTTTGATAAGAAGCAATATATGATCCATGAATGGATTTCCTTCATTGAATTAAAAGTTGCACAGGATACACTATGCAATATTTTATAGCAGGAAGGAGAAGAACATGACTAAACTGTATTATTTAAATCCATTGATATTTTGCCATGATTCAGATTGTGCCGAAATCTATCGTGCTGGTCATATACAAAGTGGATTTTACAAGATGAAACCACTAAAGAGCCCCAGTGGATTCTTTGCCTACTGTGATATGGCAGAAGGAGGTGGGTGGACAGTCTTTCAGAGACGGTCAGATGGGAGTCAAAATTTTAATAGGTAAGAAGAGAATATTTGTAGTTTAGGATTGAACTGTGAGGTCCTTGGTGCTCTCTAAGCTTGATTGCTTTCTTGCAGACATTTCATTACCAAACTAGGTAATATCATTAGTGCTAATAGGAAGTGGGGTTTGCTCTTATTTTTATATACTAGTGGCTTGCTTTGTCAGTGTTGGTGGGAGTGATAAGACATTCGTTAAACAAAATCTAATAGTTAAGATATAATAGGTAAGGTTTATTTAAACAGATTAAAATCTCTAGATTCATTTCACAGCCTTGTTATTTTTGAAATAAAATTCATTTAGAATTTCCAATTATTATGGAAAATGAAAATGTATCTTTTGTAAAAACTGCAATTTTTATGGCCCTTAGTTAAGATATAGTTTGCTGTAGAATCAAAACTGGATAATTTTTTTAACTAAATGCATGAAAAAAATTGTATGTATGGTAACTAGCAAGATTCTCTTTGGTGACTTGTTAGGTAAGATACTATTGCACTGAGAAGCAGAAAGTGTAGGAAGATAGAAATCAGTGGTCTTTTTTATTGTACTTCACACTCATTTAATTAATTTTTATTTAAGATTTATTTATTTATTATGTTAATATAACTGCCCATCTCATGGAAAGTGACTCTGAACAGCATACAACAATCCACTAAACAGAAAAACTATAAAGTAATCATTTCCTAAAACCATTATATAATAATTATTTAAAAAGCTTTAAAAACCATCAAAGCAGTCTGTATTAATCAAATTTATATTTCTTGTTATTTTAATCAGAAGCAGCATAACAATTCTGCTTTGAAAGTATAATCAGGTTTATTGATTATTATTGATGGAGGACCTGAAATTGCAATCAAATCTTTGTAGTCATTCTTCATAATAAAAAATAAATCTATAAAATGAATTGAATTTACTTTGTTTTTTGCCTAGAAACCAAATATATGTTTGTAATTTGTAATTGTTAGAGAACTGCACAAACTGTTTTAAAGCCACTTAATAATCCTCCATGATTTATACAGATCAGAGGTTTTAATCTTTTTTTTCAGAAATTGGACTGAATATGAGCAGGGTTTTGGAGATTTTACTTCAGCAGATGGTGAATACTGGCTTGGGAATAAAAACCTACATTATTTGACTTCTCAGGGTAAGAAAAATACAATACTTTATTAGAAAAACCAAAACCAATAATAAGGGATTTATTGTTTTGTAACAATGAGCAGAAAGATCAGTAGTCAGTAGGATTTCTCTACAGTTGTAGTTCAAATTAAAGTGTCTCTGAGTGTGATTTATTGCTGAGTTACAGTTTAGATACATTCTTATATAGTAACATCTCAAGGAATGCATTTATATAATTCATTTAATTTAGGTGCCACCCAACTCCAGACTGAGTATGGGCAGCTCATAATGTAACAGACAAAATAAATTACAATATGAATAAGAAATAGGAACAAAACAGACACAAGATAAATAAAAAAACAAGTTACCAAAAACCCCACCAGGATGATAAATCCAGCCAAGTTGAAAAAACATACATAAATAAATCCAGCAAGGAGCACCAACCAGCCCACCCTGGGAGAACATCTAAGTCTTTAAGAGTGGCTTTGAGAGCCACTTGGATCTCAATGGAAATGTCATTCCAGAGGGCAAGTGTTGTGACAAAGAAGACCCCCTTTCTGTGTTCTGGTACATTATATTGTTTAACTGAAGAAACCCAAGGGCCACCAACCCTGCCACACTCTCAGCTGGATAGACACCATAAGCATTCCTTCAAATAACCAGGCTCTAGTAAGCTTTATAGGTCATAACTAATAGTTTCAGTTGCATCTGGAAGCAAAAGCCACATCTCACAGAGCAGTGATGTCATCTGGGAATAAGGAGACATAACCATCACTGCCTGCACTGCATGGTCTTCAAAGGTTGCCTCGTGTACAGCCCATTGCAGGAGTAACTGAACTGCAGGATGCGTAGATCATGAGTGATTCTCTGTAGAGCCTCTTGTTATAACTTGTAGAATTTTGGACCTTTGGACTTTCTTCTAAGCAAGCATGTCCAGGAAATCTATGAAAAGAATTTAAGATCATTTTTACAACTTACAGGGTTTACTGCTATCTCTGAGAAATACATTCTGCAGAGATGGATATATGAGACAAAATACATACTTGCAAACTGCTTGAGTCTCTCTTAAAAATTGTGGAATCCAGGTCTCTTCATTCCATTACGTAGGATGATGGATATTGTGGTCCAGCAGAATTAGAGGGCACTTGGCTAGTAAAAGCTATTTTAGTTAAAGTGGTTATTCTGTTTTAAAAAAACGCATAAAACTCCAGCAAATCATTCATATGTTTGCTGATTCTTATATAATAATCTCAATTTGATTATTACAATTTGCATATTTTAAAATATCTGCTCTGGACACTGAGCCAAATTGATACAGAAAGAGAATGCCTGCTGATAACTGGAAATCACAGCAACATCTACAAACTCTATCAATCTGGAATTATATTGAAGCAAATTTTCTCACTGTTTTTTTCTACCCAGACAAGAGAAAATTTCTCAAAGCACTAGGCATTCAGTTGTAGATTGTGTTTAGTTTGATAATCCAACAGCTAAATTGAAGCCTGGGATATGTAAACACAGGATCTAAAAGTGTTTGTATGTGTGTGTGTTTCTTCGGTCTGACTGTCTATGTGTATATGTGTAGTTCTTTGCTTTGTTCTGAGTGTGAGGTCTGAACCGCTTGCCTATATAAGCAAGCCGTTCAGACCTCACAGTCAGAACAAAGCAAAGAACCACACACTGTTAATATAATCCAAGTGTTAAATACATGGTTAAGTATCACTAATGCATAATACAAAAAGTGCTGAGTTGCTAACTATAAAGAGCAAAATCTCTGATTACAATTATATAATATGTTTAATGTTTATAATAGTGATAATAAATGTTCAAGAAAATTCCATATTAATGGATTAATCATTGATTAATCAAAGTATATCAGTATCATGCTAAGCAATAAGAAAATCAAGCATGAGTAGTTAGCCATGGTATCTGAATTCTCTCAATGCCTGCAATGAATTGAATGGAAATTCTCCCTTCCTCTCTTCTGAATATTGTATCTTCATTTGTTCTTTTTAATTCAGGGAATTATACCTTGAAGATCGATTTGTCTGACTTTATGGATGAACAGCGCTTTGCACAGTATGAAAAGTTTCAAGTTGCAGATGAGCAGGTAGTAGAAGTAGTTTCATTAGAACTTGGAATTCTAAATACATAGCATAAGAAAATAAGTATTTCATAACTGTTGTAGCATCAGAATTCTGGGTTTTTATGTGTGTGCATGTGTGAGTTTTAGCATGTTACACTACTATAAATGAACTCCATTCAGCTCCATTCATCTGTGAACATCATGGGCAATCAAGAGCGTCCAGTTATATTTAACACTCAAAGGCATAATGTATTTTGGAGGGGTTAGTGAGATCTCTGAAGGGAAACATTGTCTTACTTAACAAATTTCACAGAGTCCCCGTGGGAAGATAACCCTCATTCATATATATATATAATCTGAACTTCTTGGCATAAGGAAGAAACAGAGGAGTAAATACTATTTTAATTAACATTTGAACTTCAAAAGCAGTTAAGTTTTTCAAACTTTTGGCAATCGACTTCATAAAATGAAGTGACTACCCGCCCAGTTAAATAAAAATATGTTATACACCTTTAAAATCATGGGAATTCACAATATGCTAAATTCTTTCATAGTTAATTCGAGCATTAAAAAAATCAGTACAGAATAATAAGCTCACCTTCCTTATAGGGACAAATCCTCAAAACTGGGAAATACCCTATGCTACATGTACCTGATCTTGGTTGTTAAATGATTTTGCATGTTCAGTTTATTTCTTTGTAGACTACGTGTATTATACTCCTTTTTGAAGATCTCTCATAAATGCTAGACAGGTGTTCCACTTATTCAATTCTCTTGCTCCTTCTCCCAACTTCTTTGCTAGAATTTTTACAAGATGAATTGTGGGCAATACTCTGGAACAGCTGGTGACTCTCTCACTGGGGGGTTTCACCCTGAAGTTAAATGGTGGGCAAATCACCAAGGGATGAAATTCAGTACCAGAGATAGAGACAATGATAATTATGAAAAGAACTGCGCTGAAGAAGATCATGCTGGCTGGTGGTTTAACAGGTTGGCTATCTTTTCATATTACTTTGATTTAGAAGAACTATTTTTTCCCCTAAACTCATGTATAATAACACAAATGTTCTGGATCTGAGGAGCTATCAATAGCCCAGTTAAATGCTAATGCTTATTCTGTCATTTTAAATTACAAATAGGTCTCAATTAGTGCAGTTAATGAATTTTATAAAATAGTCACATTATTCAAATTTGCACAATTCACTATTCAAAGCGATACTTCCATGGGAAAAAAACAAGCATCTTCTTTTTAAAATTTGTACTGCTTTCCTCTGACAAAATTTTCCTTTTCTCCATCTGCACACACTACTTTAGCAGCATCTAAAACCCCAACCTCAAGTGTGCATGCACTATTCTCAATTAGGCATGCAGTAACCTCACATTAACTGAATTTTGGGCCACATTATATGTGACCTGATATCAGTCTCCAATCTGCACTAAATTAAAAATTGTATTATAGTTAGTCTTCAACTTCAATTGAGCCCCAAATTTAGTTGCTAAGTAAGATAGTTGTTAAGTGAATTTTGCCCCATTTTACGACTTTTCTTGGCACATTTGTTAAGAGTATCACTGTAGTTGCTAAGTAACAGGTTGAATCTGGCTTCCCAATTGAATTTGCTTGTCAGAAGGTCACATGACCCCAGGACACTGCAACTGTCATAAACACAAGTCAGTTGCCAAACATCTGAATTTTCATCATGTGACCATGGGGTTACTGCAACTGTCATAAGTGTGAAAAATGGTCATAAGTCACTTTTTTCAGTGTAGTTGTAACTTTGAACAGTCACTAGATGAACTGTTGTAAGTTGAGGACTACCTGTATTTGAACTCCCGTTGTTCATGAACTAATATTTTCCATATTAAGCTGCAATTTGATGCTCACTAAATTGAACATAGGTTGCATTGTTGTAAGAATATTATTTCTCAGTGCACATGTATAGGATTGTGCTGAACAGAAAGTTACTGCAGCAAAAAATTCTATTATAACTTGTTCCTATTATAATGACCTCAAAGATATTACAAAGTGTAATATCATGTACATTTCTTGTCTTCCAGGGCTTTGTATAGTCTCAATATATTGAATTGTCAAGATCTTTTTTTGACTACCAGGCACAGCAAAATAGACACCAATCTTATTCTCCCTCCTTTAGCAGAGATATCAGATGTGATTCCAGGGGAGTAGTTAAACTGCTCTATCACCGCAGCTGTTTGCTGCAAGGCTGCAGAATCTCCCCTATGCCATCGAGGCAGAATTCTGTCAATTTAGATTTTAAATTTTTAAGCAGTATTCAGTAACAGCAGATAAATTTACATTTATTGGTTCATGTTTGTCTTCTTAGGACTATCACTTCAGTATGTGAATGGGAATGGGAAGATTTTCTAATTTTATTTTTACAATATTTGGGTTTAATATATTCTTTTCATTTAAAAATTATATTTAACTTTGCATGTTGGCCATAATAATAAAAATAACTATTTTTTTATCATGATCATTGGGGAAGCTGAGAGCTATAGGCCAATGCATTTTGAAAATCTAACACCAAAGAAAATTAGTCCTTCACAAGAAACAGTATTAGAAGAATTCAAGAATCATTCATATATATTTGAAAGATATTGGAATAAAATTCTACGTCTTGCTTGACCATCACTCTTTATGAGTTGTAACATTGGCAAGGACTATAAGCAAGTTTGCAGTGAGTTAAGAAACATTAATTGTTTCCACACACTTGTTCTTTACTGCAGTATTTTGTATAGCATTAATCAGATAGAACATAATGACCAAAAATGACTTTTAAATGGTTGTATTTAAAATATAAGGGAACTTTATGACAGCTGCCAAAATAATTGTCAACACTGAATTTAACAGGTTGCAAAATAAAGCAAGGAAGTATATTTACATAGTCAGTCTAACAATATGCATAACTCACAGGGAACAAGTTGCCTCTTATGATTTGAGAGCTATCAGATACATTTGAAAAGATTTTGCCACTTACAAACAGCTTCAGTGTTGTCTCACTTTTCCTTTTGGGGATTCTTCAGGGAAGTTGTTTGGCTCTATCTATTCAGTTGTTATAAACATAAACTCTTGCCAATTATTGCAAGCATTTTGCAATACAGTTTGAGTTGGACTGAGGTAAAGCCAAGTTTACTGTGTGAAACAATATGTTTCAGCTCTCATCAATGCTAAGTAGATAAAAAGGAGGAAATGAAACAATGTTTAAACCCTGTTTTCGGTGAAGTCAAAGCTTCCACTGACTTCAGATGGGAGTTTTGTCACTGCTGAAAATAAAAGAGTCACATTTGTTTGTGATGAATCATTATGGAATATACTGCACAGCAATTGTTCTGAGTCAAAGAATAATAATTATAAATGTGTTCTTCCAGCCCTCATTTTGTAGTACGTTTTTACTACTAGTTTTTTAAAAAAACAATTAAATCTTAGCAATCATTCTGTAAACCTATCATAATAATCCTTTTCATTCTCGACTTCCTTCTACCCTACTTGGGGATGGGCTCCCTTAGAAATAACAAAATTAGAAATTGCTGATAGGAGATCTTGGCAAATGACATGCAGCTCAATAGCCAAGTCATAGATGATTTGGTACATAAAAAGAAAGATTGAAAGAAAAGTACAGCTCAGTACTAATGAATTTAATGGGGATTTCTCCCAGTTAGAAGAATATATCTGACTGCAGTCTAGTCCAGTTCAGATTTTATATTTTTATGGATTCATTATGAGTAGGTACTGATATAATTGGTCTGTGGATTATGTACATGGATGAACTATTAGGCTGTGAGTACTTTGTAAGTAAATGTAGTCTGCTGAAGTGCTGCCTAACAGGTTTTATATGTGGAAAATTTGTATATCCTATATATCTTTCAGAAAAATGTTTCTGTCACAAAGGGAAGAAAATGTTTATATTTCTGTTGCTGAGAAACTGAAATGATTGTTTTGTATTTAGCTGCAGATATACTTTTCTGAAATACAATTCATTTTAAGTATGGGATTGACTATAATTGAACTATCATTTTGATAATATAACAACAATTCACAAATTCAAATGCTATAAAATATATTTCCTTATTCTACAATAAAAAGGACTGCTTTTTCTCTTTTTACAATTTTCTTCTAGACTTCAGACTTTTTTCCCTTCCAATCTGGTCAAGAAGTTGGTGAAAAAATCAATTACACTGCAGAGAATTCTAGTTGAAATTATTAGATCCATTTTTAGTCAGGACTTGTTAAGGAATGGAAATGGCACTGATTGGTCTAGTTGATTACCTCTGCTAGGACCTTGATATGGGAAAACATGTCCTTTTTGATCATATTAGATGTCTTTATCATATTCAGTACCATCAACTATAATAGCCTCCTGGACTACCTGCAGGAGAAGGGAGTTGGTGGTATCATTTTATGGTATGCACACTAAGGATACCCTTAGTGGATACTTCCATTCAGAGTCATGGGGAGATTTGTGAAGTGCCTCCCTAAAGTGTGAAGTGCCTCCAGGTTTCCCTCCAAATTATTTAATGTGTACATGAATGAAGTGTGTCATTCTGTGATTCAAACTAAAATGGTTCAGGATGATGTTATCATTCGTATGCTAATGATATTCAGTTATATATCACCATCATGGGTTGAGCCAAGAAGCTTCTGAGGTTTAACATAATTTATATAAACCTATTCTCATCTCATAGTAATTAGGTGGTATTGTTATAAAAAGTTGAGTAGATGCACTGAGAACATAACTTCCAGAATTCCTAGCCAACATAGATTAATCTGATTATGATATTGAAGGAAGAAATCTTGCTAGCATAACTTTGCTAGATTTGATAGGTCTTTATCCTGATATATTCTAGAGGTCTTTGTATTCTAGAGGTCTGGTGTCTCTTTAAGAGCCAATAGCATGATTATTTAATGTGGAGATTGTGCCATGCAGCACCAATGCTCTATGCTCACAAGAATGACAGTTGTCCAATTCTCTAGTTCTTTTCTGGGGAGGAGGGTTAACTGTGCTTTTTGTTGTGAACAATGGAGCAATGTTTGTACGGGAACAAAACCAGCAAGCACAGACAAGGGAAAGTACTGATCACAGGCCATCATCACATATGCACAAGGAAAGACAATGGAGTTCCCTGGGCTACTTTATCAAATATGCCTACCTGTTAAAAAACAGATCACTGGATAATAGAATCTTCTTTGGGTTTTAAATACAGAGAAGTAGAAAAGATAACCATGAAGCCTAGCTAGATTAAGACTTGTGAGGCTTAATATGTTCTAAGGACATATATTGTCCTAAGTGGTAATGTGACTTTTTAAGCTTTGGTTTAGTATTATGATTAGAGCAAACCATAAATTTGTGAGTTGTAAACCCAATCAGTGACTGAGTTTGCACACTGTACAAAATCAAGCAAATTATATTATGATCTAGTGCAGAGGTGGGCAACCTAAGGCTCTAGGACTTATACACAATCTGTCACTCTTTAGAGACATTTTTTTACTTCAGTTACAAAACTAGTGGTTAATTATAATACCAAGAGTGTGTTATGTTTGTAATTTATTTTAAGATAAAGTCTTGACTGAGTCATGCTTGACTATTGGTGACTATGTAATCTTGTCCATATCCAACAATACAAAACGGGTTTGCAATTGTCTTTTCCCAGGCTGTCTCCTTTCCAGTCTAGCTTAGAGCTTTAGTATTTCCTGGTGATCTCTTATCCAAGTACTAATTAAATCCGATCCTGTTTTGCTCTAGAGACAGCCTAATTCTGTTAATAACTTGGAAATAGAACCATGGCATCATGGAAAATCTGCTCCTCACTACATGATCCTTTAGAACTTCTCTGACAAGTGACCATCCAGCCTCTGTCTGAAGATCTCTTAAAAAAGAGCTCATCACTTTCTGTGATGCTTCATAAGTGAGAATATTCCTCTTGACGATTACCATAGCATGAATTCCCTTCCTTGCAATTTTTTCCCTGTCCTTTTTGAACTTTAGTACCAAAACTGGGTAGAGTAGTCTAAGTATTCTAAGTGGAAGGGCAGTGAGGTAGAGCAAATAAGCTCTCCGATCTGGTCTCTTTGCTTGTGTTAGTTAACACACCCCAAAAGTATGAGGTGGCGTATGCTCTTTTAAGCTATTGCATCATATATTTGTTTTTGTTTAGCTTGTGGTTAATACGTCCCTTTTCCTAGCCAATATAGTTATGTTGTCTAAATTGAGAAAATTGTGCTAGTGAAATAAAACATAATTAAGCATACTGGTTATGTAAAGTTTGGTTGTTTTTATTGCCAGTTGTTCTTGTTTCAAGAAATTATTTTTTTTCTCTTCAAATTAAGTTGATTAGCAAAAAGTTGAAACAATTAGTGCTGAATCAACCAATAGAAAGAAAATACTTTGTTTTTTTTTTCTTGCTACATTTCTACTCTATTGGAAAGAACATTCAGGAAGCAAAAAGGGAGAATGATAAGTTGGAAAAGTGACTAGAAAAAATATCTGCACAACTAATAAATAGGTACTTATTTTTTTAAAAGAGACTTTGATAAAGGGATAAAGTTAAGAATCCCTCAAAACTTTCAATGATGTGAAATTTGAGGAGAATGAGGGTACTATTACAAAATATGATATTGTAAATGTATTTAGAAATTAGAATTAATGTTTTCAAATCTTGCAGCTCCTCCTTATAACTTAATCTGGATTTTTGTATATAACCCAGATTTTATTTTACCTTTCCTTTCTTTCTCTTTCTTTCTTTCTTTCTTTCTTTCTTTCTTTCTTTCTTTCTTTCTTTCTTTCTTTCTTCCTTCCTTCCTTCCTTCCTTCCTTCCTTCCTTCCTTCCTTCCTTCCTTCCTTTCTTTCTTTCTGTTTTTCTTTCTTTCTCTTTTTCTTTCTTTTTCTTTCTGTTTTTCCTTTCTTTTTCTTTTCTTCTTCATCTCCACATGCTGAGGGCAGAATGCTTTGCCTATCTTCAATATTTTGAGAGAGGGTTGTATAATTTTTATTGAAAAAAAACTTTAAACAGAGTTTAAAAACTACAGCAAACCTAAAGGAAAAAGGAAGAAAAGAGAAAGTGAGAAACAGTGAGAGACAAAGAAAAAAAATTTCTAGAGGTGACTTCCAATCTTCTATACAGCAGTTACTGGCATAATTATTACAATTTCCACCCTCCCAAATTATTGTTTGGTTCCATTTTTCATAAGCATCCTTTTTTAATCAGTAAATTCAATATTTTGATTTGGTATTATGAGGTTTTTCCTTATTTTTGTAAACATCCAAATAAACCTAACCCATTTAGTCTACTTATTTTTGGTTAATTGGCTGGAGGCGGGGAGATTTTTTTATTATTATTCAGTGGTTTACCACAGACGCTAAATGATGTAATCCTTAAAAAACTCCTGCGGTTCCCCAGAAAAGATTATAGGGTATTCACCTTTGATGAATCTATTCAAAGGAGAACTAAAACAACCCTCATACCATCTTCGGATAGTGCCAGATGAGATGGTTGGATTCTTATGTTCAGATGTGTTGTCCCAACCACTTAATTTAATATAGGATGGGAGCAAATATCATGATAATCCATTTGTAATTCTAACACTTTTCCACCCAGGATTCTTCTTTTTCCTTCCAACCAAAAAAGAAGTCATTGAAGAAGGAAATATGGAATAGTTGCATAAGGAAGGTCTTTATTTTGGTTGTAATCAGAACCCTCCATCCAGAAATATTATCAGCAAAATTGTTTGATATATTCATTATCCTTGTATTAAACTAGTTGTACTTCATGAAAAACCACATTATTTGACAATATTTGAAAATGATGGATACACTAGATCATTTTGCATGCCTTGTATGGTCTCTTACCTATTATTGTTTTATAACACTAATGTAAACACACACATGCAGTGGGTTGTTTACTTACCTTACGGGCCATTTTTTCATCAAGCTGATCACTGAGGAGATCAAGGCAATCACTGGGTGGATTTTAGGCATCATAAAAGTATAACAAATCACTAGTTGTTATTAGTTAGGAAATAAGCAGGGTTTCTTGGGATTTTGGGATATTTATTTATTTATTTATTTTATTTATTTATGAGACTTATATACCGCTTTAAGTGCAAGCACTGTCTAAGCGGTGTACATCAGTAAGCAATGTATATATATATTTACATTGCCCCCAACAAGCTGGGTCCTTCTTTTACCTACCTCGGAAGGATGGAAGGCTGAGTCAACCTTGAGCTGGTAAGATTTGAACCGCTGACCTGCTGAACATAGTCAGCTAAAGTGGCCTGCAGTACTGCACTCTAACTGCTGCGCCAACTCGGCTCGGTGAAAATGGGGAAAATGAAATAACTTTGTCTCAAAATCAATAGAACTTTCCTTACACAAAGTCACTATAGTACAGCTTTGTATAATTAGGTTGATTCAGACCTCAAGTCACAGAATACATTATGGAGAGGGTTGCTGGTGACCTTCCTGTTACGCCTGTTACTAGACAGTCCTTTGATGATGAGTAGGTGATGATTCTCTTCACATCTAAGGTCCATGCAAGTGCCAAAGGGCTAGAGGTAACTGCATTCCCCCAAAGCAAAAACTGGTAGAGATGAAGCAGAAATTGTGCCCCCATTTTAGTCCCAGGGATTATATATTACTCAGGCTTCAATGACTGAAATGCAGTGCATAGGAAAAAAAATAGGTCACAGTTTCTACTTGCAAAAAGTCCGAGGAAGCTATGATTTTGTTTGAAACTAATAGATATCTTCTGTTTCTTTTTCTTCTATTTCACTAGATGTCATACTGCCAACCTGAATGGCCTGTACTATAATGGACCCTATTCAGCAAGGACAGATGATGGAATTGTGTGGTACACATGGCGTGGCTGGTGGTATTCCTTGAAGTCTGTTGTCATGAAAATCAGACCATCAAACTTCAGTCCCAGTGTAGCTTAGGGTTTGTTTCCATATTCATCTTAATCAAATCAGTTAACCAAATCAGCATTCACTAGATAAAGAATCTATTGAGTCAGGTTCAGTCATTAGTGAGTATATGGACACTTCATACACAGTAAAGGTGTTTTTTTGTGTTGGGTTTTTTTTTTTTTTTTTTGGCAGCAATAGGGATATAGTTTGCCACTATCTTCTTCTCAGAATCTCTTTTTAACTTCTTGGTCTGATTTACAGCCCTGGCATTTCTTTTTTTTTTTTACTTTTTTTTTTAACTGTATTATAAATTTTATTTATAATACAGTTAAAAACAGACAAACATTGGATTTAACGTGACATTCCAGTATATACATTCTTATCAGATTATTCCACTTTTTACAATCAATTCTTCATCTCTACATATACATCTAAGTTTTATATACAATACTAAAATAACATGTATTTCTATCTTAACATTCATCTTTAATCCCGACCGTCCTCTTCAAATTCCTCCAGCGGTAAAATTTATCCCAGGTTTCATAATAAACTGATCCACATTTGTCTTTTAATATCATTGTGAGACTGTCCATTTCCGCACATGCTAATATTTTATGTATTAACTCTTCCTCTGTGGGAATTTCCTTGCTCTTCCATTTTTGTGCTAAAGGAAGCCTAACTGCAGTCAGGATGTGTAACAGCAGGTAGATTGTTTCCTTGTCGTATTTTTCTGTCTTTATTCCCAACAAGAAAAGTTCAGGCTTTAACTCTAAGTCCAGGGTTAATATATCCCTCAACCAGTTTCATGTCCTGTTCCAATACTCACGAGTCTTTGGGCATTCCCACCACATATGGTAGTATGAACCTATTGCTGTTTTACGTTTCCAGCATATGGGTGAGATGTTTGAACCCATTTTGGCTAGCCTTACGGGTGGGAAATGCCATCTATAAAGCTTCTAACTCTAACCAGCTTCAATGGAGGGGACATCAAGAAATGCTAGGGCTTTAAATCAGATCAAGTTAAAAAGAGTTTCTGAGAAGAAGATAATCCTATTGAGATTTATTGAGATCAACCAAGGTATGGCCAAATGCTGCCAAAAAACCTAATCAGGTTTCATTTTTTTAATCTAAAAGTTCATATGAATAAATTCTAATGAGTTCCATTTCTGGTCATTTCATGGGCATACTCACATTTGTATAAATTCAAATGAGTTCCATTTCTGGTCATTTCATGGACATACTCATATTACTTTTCAGTAAAACCACTGATTTTCAAAAGCTTAAATGTGCTTTTGTGTATTTTTATTGATAAGAAAACAAATGGCATGGACATATAAAACTGAGGTCTTTAATTCCACAGTCATTAGCTAAAAAGGTGTTTTAGGTCCTTTTCCATAATAGCTACATTACTAGAAGATTTAAGATTTGTATTTAAGAGCATTAATTCTACCATGTTTTTAACTTGCACCTCTTCACAAGCAGAATATAATCTAAAATATACACTGGACGAAATTAAGTCTTTCAGATATTTTACACTGATGACCTACAGATCTGTAAAAAAAATATGCTTGTTTTCAGATTTTCTGAATGTTTGCTCATATTTTCTGTTACATATAATTAAAGCAGACCTTCATGTGGGTCCTAATCACGTCTATCAAAATAGGCATATAAAGAGTGCCTGAATAGACAAATAATACTAACATTTAGTGTTGCTTTCATTTTATAGACAAAATCACCCAACATTCAAAGTGACAGAGTGAAAAAATGATCCGTCCAGTTTAGTTAAAGGCATATCTAGGTCTATACGTATGAAAATGGAGATTCAACAGGCATGGCATACCCCATTCAGAAGAAATGTCTGAAGATTTCCATAAAACCTAGTTAATATCTATTAATCTGGAAGAGATTACATAAATTCTGTTAAAGTTTAGGGATCCATAGTCCAAGTATTGAACTGGAGAAGGTTTGGGACAATGAATCCTTCTAAGGGTGACTGTTTTCTCAAACTCATTCCATCACTACTGTTTATGAAATGAATTGAAGAAGCCCCCAACTTTGGTGTTACTTATTCACTTGGATTCCCTTTTTATATGTACTGAAGCATTATAAATATTCTGAAATGTGGAAAATAGTTTTTTATAGAGCTATATATGTTTTAGCTTTATCATACATAGTTTGCTATTCCTATTCCACTACGTATAGTTAGTCATGCTGCACTTATGTGGATAGAAGACTGAGTAAGACTGAAGAGTAAATATCCAGAGTGGATAGAACTAAGTGGCTAAATCTCACATCTTATTAGGAGAATCTAATGCAGTATCATTTATTTTAGGCTGAAATTTATTTTTGATGTAACTTATAATCATCGAAGAAGAGGGACACTGCAGTGAGGATATTTTATAAATAAAGCTTGATAAAGGAGCATTGCTTCTCTAATTTACAACCTACAATATGTATCTTCTATTATTTCAGTATGGCAAACATACTAATTGGCTGATGCTCATGACATCATTGGTGATGAATCACAATTTCTTTGCTATTCCTGTCCTTTTTAAGAAACCAAATTATTGCTTAGGCATTAGTGACAATTAAAGAAGAACATGAAAAAATACAGGTCACTTAAAGGACAGTGTAGTTCTAATAAGACAAATCCTGGTTTGGATTAGTATATTCACTGTTAAATTATCATGTCAGTATGATTCTAGACCTATTTAAAGTTTAATTTCAAATATGTATTTTTAATATTTTTAAAAGCATCACAGAAAACATTTTTTTTAAATGGAAAAATGTAGAAAAGCAGTAACTGTTTTTTTTAAAGATTCATCTGTTCCTTGTTTCATATCATTGATAAAGATTACTTTATTTTCTTATTCTAGGTCCATTCTATTATATGATATATTGATTGGGTATTGACTTTGCAGATAAATAAAGTCATAGCATTCATATAGTATTACTTTAGAGACCAAAGTGACTTGTGTCATAAACTCCTTATAATAGCCCCATGCGGGAAAACCATTGTTGTCATCCTTATATTGCAGGTAAAGTAATGCAACTGGTCAGCAATACCTGCTATATGCTATACTAGTGTGCTATGATGAAGTTGATAAGATATTGGTTAGTCAATTAAACATATCAAGGCATAAGCATCAGTTACACTAAAATACAATAAAATGAGAAGACAAAACACAGGAAGTGAGATTAAATAGAATAAAATATAGCAGGTAAGATACATATAAATGAGTAAGACAAAATAGTAGAAGGGAAGAGAAGAAGGGAAGGAGAAGAAGACGAAGAAGAAGAAGAAGAAGAAGAAGAAGAAGAAGAAGAAGAAGAAGAAGAAGAAGAAGAAGAAGAAGAAGAAGACTTTATTAAGTTAATTAACTGTATCAAATATATAAAACTGATACAAAAAGTGCAAATAGATACATAGAGAAAAAGGTCATATTAGATCATTACCCCTGCATTTAACCTCAATCTGATCAAGGTATTCTGTCCTCTTAGAGATGGCATTTGAAATTAAGAATGCAATCTTATTGATGATATGGACTTTTGTTTCTTGCAATAAGTAAAATTGTTTCTCCTGGGTGTTTGAATATTTTTTTTACTTTTAAAATAAAGCCTAAGTAAGCAGCTCTTTGTAGAGGTACAATTTGCAGTCAACAAGAATGTGTTCAGTGTCTTCAATGCTGAGGCTCCACAAATGCAATCTTTCTTCAACTGATATTTCATGAAACCTCTCATGTCTTATGTAGTCCAGTTGCTTGAATTGTGTCCTAGAGAAAAATCTTCTGAGATGCCAAGGCATGTAAGTTGTTAAATTTTGATTTAATTTTTATTACATTACTGAGAAAATGATTTGATTATATAATGACATCATGATATCCAAATATGCAAATAGCATCATTGGCATGCCAACATAATGACCCACATACATTGATTTGTTCTCCTCTTGGCTCCTCCCCATAGATGCCTATGCAGTTGGTAAAACAATGGCCTCTATCAGTAGTAAATGAATATGTGACCAGCTGTAGTCTACACTTCGAGCCTCAATGAAACTTTCTTTATTTATGAAATTCTGAATTTCTAGTTGTTGTTACTTAGAAATATGTGCAGCTGAGTTTTAAGGGGTTGTTCTCAAATAAATTTGTATGAAGGTGCTGTTTCTGTTAGTTTTGTAACTGAGAAAATTAAAGTCTTCATGAAATAGTAAAAAAGGGCAGGTTTAGCAATTAACTGTTAGCATTTATTGCTTTTCTGCCAAAGTCCAGATACTTTGTTTTAATGGAGTTCTTGAACGATGACAGAATAATGATCAGCATGTATATATTATTCCTGTAAAATACCAAGCATGTATTATCACCACTTGCTATGATCACATAAGTAAATAAACAACAGTAAGAAACAACAAGAAGGAATGAGATGTCATTCATGATGCAACTAAATATACTATTATGATTCTTGTCAGCAAGAACAATGCAAAATTGTTTCTTCAATTTTCCATTATAAATATACCTTGAAAATTTGTACTTTTATAAACAAACACCAGCTCTGTGAATAAATGAGTATTTAATGTTCTAGCACTGAACTAAATTCAGATATTCTGTTCCACAAAGTGGTCAAATGAGGTACTTAGACCTTCTTTGATTGAATAAATACAGAATACAATAGACATGTTCCTGTGGATTTCTTCACATATTCAGAAATACAAAAATACCATCCTACCCTAGCCAGAGACAAAAATGAATCTGGAAATTTATTTGTTCCTCTGAGTCTTCTCCAGTCAGAACTCTGGACCCAGTGAAGACTTTCAGATTTATGGTCTTCTCTGAAGTCCATACTAAAAAGGCAGACCAGATGGACTATCAACCTGTAGAGCTGGGGGAATCATCTGAGGTGGCTGCCATAGAAGATGAACATGGCCATTTGGGGCTGACTCAGATCATGGGTGGTCTAATCCTGACAGAGTGCCTAGCCCTGTAGCTCAAGAATATGCCAGCAGCTTTTAAGCAGAGAAGAAGGTTTCAGCTTTTCTTCAGAAGAGATGGCAGCAACTCCCTCATTAAGCCATGTCAGCCACCGAGGCTGTACAAAAGTAAACTTGGATTCTTTTTTATTGATGGAAACAACTTTCTTATCTCCAGATACTTGTTTCTTGTGCCAATTTCTTTACCCTGCAACTTGAACTTCGACTACAACCTGGATTGCACTTTTCAGACTGCTGATTTTTGATCCATGGACTTCTTTGCTTTGAGCTGTATTTGTGTTTTTCAGTGATACAGTCTGACTAAAAAGAAAGAACTCATCTTCTCCAAATCTCTCCTGACTCTCAATTTACAATCTCTCCAAGCAAGTATTATCCCTG